ACGCTCTTGTAGCCAGCCAAATGCAGCAAAGAGTACTGGAGCATGCAACCGTGACCAGAAGAAAGAACAAAACGGTCACGATTCACCCACTTTGGATCCTCAGGATTGTACTGCATCTCCTCTGCAAAGAGAAGGTATCCGATAGGTGCCTGACCCATAGGAGCACCAGGGTGGCCACTGTTGGCCTTGTTCACTGCATCCACTGCCAAGAAGCGGATGGCGTTGATGCACTCAGTGTCGACATCAACTTCAGTTGCTGTGGCCATACGAACGACCTTCTCCTTCTTCGCACATCGCTTGGATGGGCGAACAGTCGCTGCAGCTGCCAGTGCCGCTGCACCCGCACCAACCACGCTGGCACTTGCACCGACAGCGCTGGTCGGTGCAGCTGACGCCACCGGTGCTGGGGCGCTGGTCACGACATTCAGCTTCTTAGCCAGATTTTCGAACAATGCAAAAATCAAGGTGGCACAGATTCGACGCAGAAACATTCAAATTGGAACATTGAAACAGACATGTACCCAAATTCAAACCATCTCACGCAGGCTGGCTATGATCGATTCTCTGCCACATACTGTGCAGCCAAGGTACTGTCGGTGCCACGAAAGCAGGCACCAACATGGTGGCAGCAGCACCAGCAGCCACTGCTGCGGTAGCACGTTGGGAGCGAGTGGTTGGCATGGCAAGAAATACAGAGGCACTGGGAGGCTACTATGTAATGGAGCAAAATGCTGCCATGAAAGGCATTTCTCATCCAATAGTGCAAAAGCATTTGCTTCAAATCTTGTAGCTTCCAGCAGATTGTATGACAAGAAATCACACAAAAGCCAAATCAGCATCAATAGACCATCGTGTACATGCACCCAAAAACGTCATGACGGCATGAATGAGATGCAAGAATCTGTTTTTTTTCACGACACCTCTCACCACGGCTGCCACATAACGTCCAATGGGAATGAGCTGTGGAACAGTCTGGGAAAGGTTTTGGTCGCAGAAGCCACCACTGCGGGTTGAAAAATTGGGTGCTTGCCCGCCGGTTAGCTGCTTCAGCGCACCCTGCTTAAGCTTCCAGAGAAACAGAAAATTCATGAAATCATGTGGAGATAAATGAAATATGTGAAGTTTGCTATCTCCATTCGCAACTCAAGACTGTTGTTTCAATCTTAAACTTTGCGATTATCCAAGACTGGAAGGTCACACAAGAGCTGATTGCGAGGAAAATGTCTGCATTTAAAAGTGCGAAGGAAAATAAGTCCAAGCCAGCCGTTCAAATGCAATCAGATTTCGGTTGATTCGTTCAACAGCTGGCTCGGCCATTAAGTCAACAAGAGATAGAATGCCTAGTTCTTGCCCTGGCTGCCGTTGGACCTCGGAAAAGCTCGAAAAAACCAATGGCTTGCGACAAAAAGTCATGTAAAGGCTGGTCTTCAAAGACAAATTACTTCAGCTGACTTCAAATTTCAGAGATGCTAGGCCACCCTGCAGCGCGCCCTTCTCACCGGAGAGGCACCTGAACGAAATCAATGAGAGCCTGCAGCCTTCTTTTCATGCCACTCAAGCTCTCCCTATCCCTTGACGCAAAGTCTCTCGGATCTTAATCTTTGTCCCGTTTCGTACAGCGTTAAAAATCTTTAAAATCAATGAAATAGATGACTCGCAGCAGTTTGAGTCTGAATCGGTGTCAACTGAGGTGGTAGAACACGGGACACCGTCAGGAAAAAGATCTCATGATAGCGGGGACAATTCGTACAAATCGACCTTCTTTGGTGGTGGTCATTCAGCCTTGGGATGCCTTGGGTATACCTTCCATACATACGTTGGAACTGCAAGCAAAGCTGGTGCTTGGAAGTCCCAGCAAGCTTTGTCTGACAGGCATAAATCCACTATCTGGGCGCCACTAGCTTCTGAGGTGTTTTCATCGCTTGTGATGTCTCTTGTGAGCATCATCGTTCAGGAATCCTTTTGCCACGGAAACAGTTCAGGAATTGATCTTTTTGAATTGAATTTGAGTTCATTCTGCAAGTTTTGGACGAAGATTCTTGGCAAACCTGTCCAGCCCTCACCTCTCGGTACAGCTGACAACGTTGTCGACGTTGAAGCCAAATTTGTCCAGGCCTCACATTGTCGTAAGTGTATGTCTCGCGGTATGTCTGAGCCCAATCCCGGAGATGTCTCTACATTTTGTCTTTGGATGAAATCTATAACTAAAGTTGTGGTCTATGAATGTTTACAATAGAATACTGTATGCTCCTGTTACATCAGATATTCTACGATTTTGCAAGTGTCAGATCTCAAATGAGAGGATATCATATTGTCAGATTGTCATATTTCGATGTATCATTTCTGATATCACAGGCGGCATGGGTCCCACATCCTAGTCTGGACTGGAACCATTTGACCAGTAGCTAATGGTAAGACAGTGTCAAATGCTGCAAGATATGAATATGACACAATATGACACAAGATGACTATGCAAGATGACGGAAGATGATGCGAGAGTGGTAATTAGGGTAGGGCAGTTATCGAAATTCGACAGAGTCAAAGTCGATTTTGATCCAAGCCACAGGTTCCGCCGGGCGCAGAGGCACCGAAAACATCGATTCCAACAAACGCATCAGCCTTGAACCCAAGTGAATTCTTGACAAGTCATTTGTCAACCCTTGTCAAACTTGTCAAAACAAACTTTCTGCGATGATCCAGAAACTTGAAGAGGATGTGGCGTTGCTCGGCAGCTGTTTGCTCTCTGTACCAAGGCCCTCACAAACTCACCCCAGCCAGCAGTGCATGCAGCCTGCCAGATTCAGAAACTATGCCGGAAACTCTCCAAAGGGCAAGCAGGGCAAGCACCCAGACACGTTTGCCACACCGTGTTCCGACCAACACTCTGTAGGCAAGTTACCTCCACGCTCATCTTGGGCACATCTGCAGGCAACAGCTTGCTCTTGTAGCTCTCAGGCTGTTCCTAGTATCGACGGCCAGGCATGCAGCAAAATTTACATGGCATCTCTTCCAATCCATCTGCTCACCCCTGAAAGAGCTGGGAAGGAAAGAGGTATGTACTACTAATATATGGATATGTGTCTTCTGCCTTTCGACTACAGACACGTCAAAGTCACAGAACATGTTCTTGTTTCCTTGCAACCACTCATGACTAACAGCAGACTGTACGACTATATCTGTTTGAGACAAGCACTCTGAAGACCTCGCAGGAGGGCATGGACACCTCAGCTTCAAAGATCTTCAAAGATCTTCAAAGATCTTCAAAGATCTTCAAAGATCTTCAAAGATCTCAGCACAAGATCTCAAGTGCCGGAAAGTACAGGATGGCGAAGAATGAAAGAACGAAACAGACCGTTTCTCGAGGAGTGAAAATCATCCATCCCCCTGCGAGAATGAACTTCAGCTTGGACCCGAACCACTCGCACCTGCAAAACTGTAAGGAATGGAAATCTCACAGATCAGTTTTAAGTCGAAATGCATGTAATTGGTCCTCGATGTGAAACTAACTTTGACTGTTTGCAATTCTATCAGATTCTATCTATTTCTATCTCTTATTATTTGAAAAAAGATCTTTCAAAGAAATGCTTTGATTCTGAGCCTTCTTGTCCAGCTTCTCGGCAGCATCCACACAGAGACCAACCTCCGAGCCGGTGCCAATCCTTGGAACTGCAACTGAAAACTCGGAAAAATTCGGAAAGCGAGTTGGGATGCAGTTAGGATGCAAAATGATGCAGACAAGTTGCAAGATCAGCTCCGGATCGGCGCACTCAATCACCTCGTAAGCACCTCACTCTGGCAGACTGACTGGTTGCAGTTGAAGACGCGATGTTCTCGATAATCCATATTGAACCGTCATTTCAAAACAATGTTGCAGGAGCATGTTCAGATTTTCAGAGCAATATATGGCCCTTTCCCAGGTTTCCATTTCTGTGAGACTTGCAAGACTGTCCAATTTTGAGTGTCTCTGAAAAGGCAAGTAGTGCTTAAGGTTCACTGAGCTTCAAACCCTTAAGGGTGTTCTCAACGGAGGAGTTGGGCAGATTGGGCACGGCTTGTCGGGAGAACGCCATCATGGTGGGTCGAGACTCATTCTTCGATCTCTCCACAGCATACCTGAAAAGGCCATGTTTCAGATGTCTGAGTCCAAACCAGAATCCAATTCTTGCTCAAAACAAGATGGAAGAAGACAAATGGCTCTGACATGCTTTAGAAATGCTTTGACATGTTTTGATATACTGTGACATCCAGGACAAAGACAGAATCAGTCACCCGAGTCAGTCGCCCCAAACGTCCAAGCCAGGAACCCCATAGCACAAAGTCAGTCACCGCTGAACACCAGCACAGGATGCAGGGAGACCATGAACGAGAGACAGAAAGTCAACAACAAAGAGTCGGTCACCCCTGGAAGGAGAACAACAACAAAGAGTCGGTCACCCCTGAAAGCCAGAGAGAGGATCAAGGAACCCATGGGAGAATGGGAAAACAGAAAGTCAACAACAAAGAGTCCCTCAAGAAGCCTTAACGCAACCCTAGATAAACCCCAAACCAACACTAAGCAAACCCTAAACCAACCCTCATGCCTGACAAAACCCTACATTAACCCTAAACCAACCCTAAATAAAGCCTAAACAATTTTTAAACAAATCCTGACGAAACCCTTATTAACCCTAAACCAACCAACCCACAAGAAACCCTAAACCAACCCGAAATATACCCTAAACCAACCTAAATATACCCTAAACGAAACTTAAACAAACCCTAAACTAACCCTAAATAAACCCTAAACCGACCTTGAATAAACCCTAAGCCAACCCTAAGTAAACCCCAAACCAGCGTTAAAACAAACCCTAAACCAACCCCAAAACAAACCCTGACGAAACAATAATTCAACCCTAAACCAACCAAAAGAAACCCTAAACCAAGCATCCATAAACCCCAAACCAAGACTGCATAAACCCGAAAACAAACCCTACAGAAACCCTCAACCAACCTTCAAGCAAAACCTGACGAAACCCAAATTTCACCTTAAAATCCTTAAACCAAACCTAAATAAACCCAAAACCAACCCTAAATAAACCTTAAACTAACCTTAAAACAACTCCTGACGACCCCCATCACTACCCTAAACCAACCCTTTAAAAACCCTAAATCAACCCAAACTAAACCCCAAGCCAACACTAAGTCAACCCTAAATATACCCTAAAATCATGAGGAAACCCTGCAGAAACCTTAAACCAACCCTAAAACCAATAGACCCCAATACACCTTGAAACAACCCTGAACCAAGCCTAAAGAAACCATATCACTTTGATGGCCCACGAGGCACACCGCAGGGCAGTCACCCCTCACCGCCAGGCCCCTCCACAGTGGGTGACTCCGCCGAGGGGGGATTGACTCAGGGTGGTCTGACTCTGCTAGTGGTTCCGTCTGGTCTCGTGACATCCGTTTGACATCTTTTTGACCAAAGTGCTTGTAGGCATCCGCGGTCTCATTGCCATCAGCCGGGCGCATCACGGTGAGATCTGGGATGAGACGCAGAGATGGAATGGTCTCAATGGGCTGATGGGTGGGGCCATCCTCTCCGACCTGAATTCGCCAAAGCTCCCCAAGCTCAAGGTAAAGACAGGACCAGAAAATAAGACATCTATATACAGGTGCCAAAAAATAAAAGCACAGAAGGGCTCGCAAAAGGCCTACTGTAGCGACAGAAGCACCTGCAGACTTGGGGACACCGTAGATACATTGCATGCTAGTTAGTCTTCGCAAAGAATCTGCAACGTGGACTAAGCTAAGTGTAAAAAGACCCAACACACTAAGAACAACCCACAAAAGGCTGTTTAAGACAAGCTGCAGCAATGGAATCATGCGTAGTGACGAAGATGGTGCCTGCCTGGGAGAGTGCGGCAATTCGAATGGCGCCACGCATGTAGTCGGTGAAGATAGTGAAAGTGGCGCAGTAAGGGATCATGCCTGCGGCACGGAACTGAATGGCCAAAGCCTTCTTTGGAGAAATGAAAAATGTCGTGACTCATGGGCCCTCATGCTTGGCTCTTCCAAACTTAACATACAACAAGATCCATCTAACAACACCTCGTGTTAAAGTGCCAATGCTCTACACATTGACTGCCAGAAATTCAACGATTGACCTTACTCCTGCCTGTCTTGTCAAGAGAGAGCGCATTGGCCACTGCTCCCATGCCGAACTCGCGGATGCCAAAGCGCATGTTGCGCTCGGCATAGCTGTCTTTCAAGAAGTCACCAGTGCACTTCATCCTCAGATTCAGCACCAATTGCACCTCTTGCAAAACCTCTTTGTCTTTCCAATCAGCACACGGCGCATTGCTGCCTCATGTTTAAACGTTGTGAATGAATACGCCGTGGCACTTTGATAATGGTCCACAACATGAAACATCTTAAAGTCTTCTTGTCTGAGGGGCAGGGTCATATTGGAAGGTGCCAAGTCTGCGGAACCACCCATGAACTCAGGCAGCACGTTGGCAATGGCGTTGAGGCAGTCCTGTCATGTACAATTCCTTTCAACTTGTGAAACTTCTGCACTTGTGCGGACCATAGCTGCCTATACCAAAATCTTGAACAAGCTCATCTTGAAAGCTTCATGTCTAGAGTCTAGTAAACAACATGACAACCTGCGTTCCCAACCCAAGCTTCTTCTCCTGAGAGTGGAGGCGGGTTGCCTTGCCCTTGTCCTCTGGGGTAACCTGCGCACAGAAGCGTGCAAGTTTGTGCACGCATTTTGTGCCTTCTTCACTGAATCACATGAAGTCCACTGTCAATCAAAATCGCGCAGAATCAATCAAATCAATCGAGAAAAAAAAAAACCTCCAGTGGAACAGATTCTGGGCCTTAGGCAGGGCATCATCCCAGTTCTCAGGCAGCTTGCGATCAACCACAGCGCGCTGGAACTGCGCGGCGAGCTCAGGCTCCTTCTCCTGGTACTCCTGCAATTCAAATCCAGACATCCAAAAAACCATACCTTTCAGCCTCATCTCACTCAAGGTGACTCTAAAAAATCACTCAAAGAAGTTCAAGGTGCGTAACGGAAGAGATCAGGGCTGGAAAGTGAATAGATCAGGGCGCCTTCCACATCTTCTCCCAGGCTGCCTGCTTCTCAGCACCTGCCTTTGCGTGCTTGCTGAAGGTGTCATACACCTGCTCTGGCACCTCACAGGATAACTTTGTCTCATCCGTTCTGGCACAATTTTGTGCATGCAATTTGCTTAACCATTGCAGCCACTGAACAACAAAGTGGCACCAGAACTTGGCACAAAAAGTTTGGCAGCTTCAGGTATACACCTCGAACTCTCCGTAGTTCCAGCCCAGCTGCTTGCGAGTGGCCTAGTCGCATGGCAAGTCACAGAAGATTTCTCAAATCACAGCTTGGCAGCTGGCAGCAAGCTTTTGTTAAACCCCGGCCTCAGCCTCATCTGCACCGAGGGGTGCACCATGGGCATCATGGCTGTCAGCCTCAGCAAGCGCGCAGTTCTGCTCAGTTCTGTGTACATCTCCGTCCATTCTCGAGGTCATGCCATGCTGCAGTGCCTTCCAGACTCTTATTCCGTTCCTACCCCGTTTCCCCTTCCAATCCCAACTTTCCGAATGCAGCTGAGAGCGAGACCTTGTTGGGAGAGCCGAAGCCGATAGTGGTCTTCACCTGTCCCCGAAACTAGTCAAACATCATCAGAGTGAGGTGATGTGTGAGTTTGCATCCCATCAATTCATGAGAGGTAAACAATGGTAAGCACACGTAATTAAACACACCTTACTAGTGACAGTTTCTGGTTGCTCCCTGCCTTGATCAAAGTTGGCTTGTCAGTGCAAGCCTTGGCCTCCTGCGACAGTTTCAAAGGGTTCGCTGTCAACATCGACAGAAGTGACAGAAGTGACGGAAGTTCGGCATCGTCAGAATCAAGTTGCACCAGCCCGCCTTGATGGCCTTGCGGATGGCATCCACATCGGTGTTGCCCTCAGGCACTTCCAGCACCTGCAAGGCAGCTGATCCGGAGATCAACCGAAATGCTTCGCAATGTCAATGTGGGTTCTAAAAAGTCGATGTTGGAAAGGTTAAGGAATGATTTCGCTTCTTGCAGATTGGGTGTGTGGTTGTCTTGTGCCCATTCATAAAAGCCATTTCCTGTCTGCCCTACTAAAGCTTTGACTGTGACTGCATGTCAGCTTCTTACAGAGAATCTCCACAATCTTGACAGTGTTCAACACAGCGCATTTAGCACGACAAACTCTAACGTGTCTTGGTACATTTGGGAGGCACCTGCCATCCATAGCCCTCAAAGCGCTTGCCGACATCCTCAGTGAAGGAGAGATCGGTGTGTCCATCGATGGTGATGCCGTTGTCATCGTAGAAAGCCTGAGTCACAGCAAGCCCTTCAAAAAGTGTTGCAAGAGTTCAGGTTCGGTAGAATTGACCTTTTCTGCAGTTTTGGAGGCTTGTGCAGCTTGTTGCTGCCAGGGAACAATCAGCTTTCCCAGGCCCAAGTGGCCAGCATATGCGCAAGCTTCGTGAGAAATGCCCTCCTGCATGCATCCATCACCTGCAAGAATTTGTGACAAGGCTTTGGCTGTGCACGCTGATACTCAAATGCGATCATGACGTCAAAATCGATTGGACAGGTTCAAGTAGATCTAGAAGGTTCGTGCAGCCGCTTCAGTCCGAAAAGTACACAACCAGTTTGGGCTGGACTTTTGACAGGAAGAATGACTCGAAGTTTGTGACAACTCAATGCGGAAACTTGTGGATATACCTCGTGAAAACACGTGCCTTGTAAAGAAACAAGTGAAACACATGTTCGCATATGTTTTCTGCCTGCAATGGTGTAGGTGTAGTGGTCGATCAGCTCCATGCCAGGTTTGTTGTAAACCTAATCGAAAGGCCACCGATCTGAAAAATGCAGCCTTCAGAGAACTTAGGGAATCAATCAAACCTTATGGAGGCAAGTTTTGTGCTCTTGTGCGGTTCCAAGTCCTGAAAAATCAGTTGAATCCAAGTTCCAGTGAAAATGTGCGTCCCTGAACTCGAAACAAGGCGCTGCTGCAAGGTGGGCTTCAGCGGCCGCCAAGCCAACTGCATTGGAGATACCCATGCCAAGGGGTCCGGTGGTCCTATGCAGAAATCTTCTCACACGGGGCTTATACCCTTTAGACTCTGAAACAAAGAGGCCAAGATCAACATGGAATTGAAACTGATCAAACATGATCGAACATGATCAAATATGATCAAACATATAAATGGATTTAAAAAACTGGCATTTGTTTGAAGGTTCAACATGCGACCAAGGTGCACTTCAATGCCCTCGGTCTCGAAGTTCTCTGGGTGGCCGGGAGTCTTGGAGCCCCACTGTCGGAACTGCTTGATGTCATCGATCGAGACGCTCTTGTAGCCAGCCAAATGCAGCAAAGAGTACTGGAGCATGCAACCGTGACCAGAAGAAAGAACAAAACGGTCACGATTCACCCACTTTGGATCCTCAGGATTGTACTGCATCTCCTCTGCAAAGAGAAGGTATCCGATAGGTGCCTGACCCATAGGAGCACCAGGGTGGCCACTGTTGGCCTTGTTCACTGCATCCACTGCCAAGAAGCGGATGGCGTTGATGCACTCAGTGTCGACATCAACTTCAGTTGCTGTGGCCATGCAAACGACCTTCTCCTTCTTCGCACATCGCTTGGATGGGCGAACAGTCGCTGCAGCTGCCAGTGCCGCTGCACCCGCACCAACCACGCTGGCACTTGCACCGACAGCGCTGGTCGGTGCAGCTGACGCCACCGGTGCTGGGGCGCTGGTCACGACATTCAGCTTCTTAGCCAGATTTTCGAACAATGCAAAAATCAAGGTGGCACAGATTCGACGCAGAAACATTCAAATTGGAACATTGAAACAGACATGTACCCAAATTCAAACCATCTCAGGCAGGTTGGCTATGATCGATTCTCTGCCACATGCTGTGCAGCCAAGGTACTGTCGGTGCCACGAAAGCAGGCACCAACATGGTGGCAGCAGCACCAGCAGCCACTGCTGCGGTAGCACGTTGGGAGCGAGTGGTTGGCATGGCAAGAAAGACAGAGGCACTGGGAGGCTACTATGTAATGGAGCAAAATGCTGCAACACGAAAAGAGACGAGTTGTCAGGATACAACACACATGTCAATGTCAATAATTAGTTTTGATATGCCGCAACAATGCATCAAATATTGATGCCAGCATGGGTTGAAATAACCCCAGGTAAAAACTAGACGACGGATGGCCCGAGAGCGTAGAGGAGCAGGGTCTTCTCTTGTTAGTATGGAGACACCATATTACAAAACAATATACTTGAGGCCCAGGGGGGGTGAACGAAAGCTAAATGGCAAATGAATGTGGAACTAGGTGAGGTGAACTCGGAAACATGCAGGGAAGGGTAGACGAGAGTGATCCACATGGAAGGATGCAAGAGGGTGTCGCAAAAGAAGTGCAAGTTTCAAGTTGCAGTCCTATAACATGTGAAGCATGGGTAGTGGAAAAAGTTAGAAGACGGTTTCGCAAGAAAGTTTGCAACATGTGGAACAAAGAAGATGGTGACTTTATGATAAAGTTTGGGCCACATCGAAAATTATAATTTTCCATGGGGTTCAAATCGAGACACTGTTGAACCGGAGGTAGAAATAACGTTATGGAGTCTAAAGTCTGGTGAGGCATCGTGCGCATGCGAACAACATGTAGGCGGCCGTTGAAAGTCGGAAAACAGCAGAACCAAAGAAGATGGTGCATCCAGAAAGTTTGCAACAGGGGGACCAAAGAACATGGTGATTCTATTATATTTTTTTGGCCCCATCAAAAAATTATAACTTTCTATGGGGCTCAAATCGACAGAGTGTTGATTTGAGGTAGAAAGAACGCGATGGAGCCTAAATTCTGGTGAGGCGTCTTGTGCATGCAAAGAACAGGTAGGCGGTTGCTGCAAATCGGAAGACAGCAGAAGCAAAGAAGATGCTGTCTCTAGAAATTTTGGAACATGTGGACCAAAGAAGATGGTGACTCGATTAAAAAGTTTGGGCCCCGTTGAAAATTACAATTTTCCCTGGGGCTCAAATCGACACAGTGTTGACCTGAGTTAGAAAGAACGTTATGGAACTTAAATTCTGGTGAGGCATCTGGCGCATGCAAACAACACATACGCGGTTGCTCCAAGTCGGTCAGAACCAAACAAGATGGTGCCTCTAGAAAGTTTGGAACATGTGGACCAAAGAAGATGGTGACTCTATAAAGTTTGGGCCCCATCGAAAATTATAATTTTCCATGGGGCTCAAATCGACACAGAGTTGATGTGAGGTAGAAAGAATGCTATGGAGCTCAAATTCTGGTGAGGCATCTTGCGCATGCGAACAACATGTAGGCGGCCTTGCAAGTCGGAAAACAGCAGAACTAAAGAAGATAGTGCCTCCAGAAAGTTTGGAACATGTGAACCAAAGAAGATGGTGACTCTATAAAGTTTGGGCCCCATCGAAAATATTCGGAAATTGTAATTTTCGATGGGGCTCAAATCGACACAGCTTTTACCCGAATCAAAAAGTGCAAAGACTCAGGCGAAAACGCTGCAGTCTATTTTCACTCGTGCCAAAAGGGTCTCACAAGTTTCAACTGCACATGCTGTTCATGTCAGTCTATGAAGTGAAATGACAAATGCAACTCTCTTATCGATTTGTGCGTGTCATCCTGGCACATGTGAGTGGGCTCCACAACTTTCCACACTCCTCCTTTGTGGTTTGAGCGTGGCTCATTCCACAACTCCAAAATTTTCACTTCTCAACGCAAATTTCAGCTCTGCTGTCTGACTCTGCATCATCCAGTGAAAACGTTTTCGAATTCAATCTTTCAAATCATCAAGCTCTGCATGTCTTCGACATAGAGCCTAAACCTGTCTCGGCGTTCATCATCTCCTCTGTTACGGTGAAAACGATATAGCCTCTGGAATATGTTTCTGATCTCATTTGAAATTCTTGTACTGAATCCCTCTGTTAGAGTGGAATCTAGCACCAGACAAATTGCCTGCTGAATCATGCTGGCCTCATGCCAGCGTTCTGCTGCAAGAGCTTGGTTCTGATCTGCCCTCATGTTCTGTAAGAGGGCTTCCATTCCAGTAGGTCTATTGGATTGGTTGTCCTCCACATCTGTTGTCGGACTTTCTTCTTCTCCTCCTTCGTGATCTTCTTGCTGATGTACAATTGGGTCAGTTGAATCTGCACGGTTTCTATGATTCCAAAGCACCAGGTTTCCTCTTTCTTGCGTTAGCATGTGTCGATACTGCTCGGCTGTCAGTTTAGCGTTCCTGACAAAACCACCTATCTCCATCAGTCCATACCTCACGCAATTTGAGGTTTCCTCCAGAGCATTGAAACCTTCTATAGTTTCCTGTTCAAAACCAGTCTGTCTAGCCATCACCGTGTCAATTCTGTTTGACGCATCTGTTGCCAAAGCGTTGCAATCTTCTATTCTTCCATTCAAATCAGCTGCATACTCATAGTGATCGACTAACTGGATCTGGGTTTGCTCCAACTCGTTTGAAACTCCCAGCACTTGGTTCTCCAGTTTCTTGATTTTCTCTTCAATCCACTTCCATGCTCTGAATGCCAGCTTTGAAAACACAGTACCCATGCAAATCACCAAAACCGCAATTGCAAATGAAAACCATGATGTGTCCTTGGTCTCATTGTCCATGTTTGCGCAACTTGACTGCGCCATTGCCGCAACCGGTCCTGCTGACTCAAGACCCCCAGCAACTCCCATGGCAATACTCATGCGTAAAATGGCTTTGGAAATTCTTTTCAATTGTTGGGAATTCAATCTCCTCACATCTTGAATTGCATGCTCATTTGCTCCAACCCTTGAAAAGTCTGCAATGAAAACCAGTTCACATTCATACAACAAATAGAACAACCTCTGTCTGCTCAAAGCTTTTGTCCCGATGTCTGCCACGTTGAGAGTAGTTGGAACCTGTCGAAGTTTGAAGGTATTGTCAGCTGTCTTCTCCTGTATCCATAACAGTTTTCCCGACAGATGCCTCACCTTACCTGACCCTTGCCTGCTTGCCAATTGCCTTGCTGAGCTTGAGTCGGTAAACTGAAAATGTTCCAACTGTTCATCCAAAACAAAAGCAGCACATGCCTTGATGAATATCCCATCGCAAACGCAGCTAACCAAACTATGAAGTTCACTTTCACATGAGCTAAGTGATACAACTCGTTGACTTCGGCTGCTTGAATACATGAAACATCCATTGATGAAATGTATCCCACATGATGTTGAGCGACGTGTCTGCTTGTTTGCACTCCAATCGGCATCGCTGAAGCTCTCAAGTACCCATCGGTGTTGTCCACCAGAAATAACCTTTCCTTGACCATCTTCAGGAAATGGCAGGTGCAAACCAATGTCCCCCACAGATTTCATGAAGCCTACCATCTTGCGTAGGCGTGCAAGTGAAGTCAAAGTGGGAGCACTCATGTATGACGCCAGCTCCTTTATGGTATACATCAAATCTGGCCTTTCACGGCCTGCATACAGACATAGGCCCACAACTGAGCGGTATCCCTTGGAATCTTGCTGTGAGAGTCGTTGCGAATTGTCGGGCAACTGGATACTTGCATCGCATGGCACTTTCTGTGATCGTGCCGATCCAAACATCCTCTCAAACAAAGAAACCACCTTGTCCACCGTTGTACCCGGGGCTAAAACTAGGCCATCTTCAACCTCCATGATTTTCCTCCTCAGGAAGGTAATGCTTGATCCTGGGCCTTTCAACTCATCATGACTCACTGAAAATCTCTCTTTCATCTTCTTCAGAAAAACGTTGTTCCAGAAAGATTTCAATCCCACAAAAAGGATATCATCGACATGTATCATGATCGTGGCCTCAGGTGTCCTCGCCAAGCATGGTTGCTCCGGGCAAAACTCGAAATTCATGCTTTCCATCAAGAATGATTTCAAACACAAAAACCACTGTTTTGCTCCAAGACGTTGGCCTGGGAGATTTCTCTTTATGATAAAAGGCTGTCCCTGCAAAACCACACGCACCGGATCATCTTGTTCAACCTGCAGAAAAGCATCACGCACATCCAAGCTTCCCATAACAACATCGTAATCCTCCTTGCATGCTGTCTCACAAATCTTGCTTTTCATTCCAAGATATTTCAACTGCAGAAGGTTTGCTGTATGGGTTCCAGTGGCAGGACTGAAAGTGTCCAATCTTTTCGTTGTTGCAAATTCACGCGCCACCAGTCTGGATCTGCGCATCCATCTTTTCCTTTCACCTTCACCTTCTCCATAAGACTTCAAACGCCAATCCCTGACCATCTTTGTAGTCAAAGAACCTGTGATTTCGCCTTGGAACTCGGATTGTGGCACCAAGACTTGCATGCTGCACAAACGGTCAATCTCCACCTTATCTGCAAGGTCATCAATCCAATTTTCTGGACTGCCAGGCGCGGGTTGATCTACTGGAGCGTCTGACCACAAATACTCTGGAATTCCAGTCAGCACAACCGCATCTTCACCAACCCAGTCTTCATCCTCTTCAGCTGATTGTTCAAGATTCAAATCTGTCTCATAATCATCCATAGTGAAGTACTCTTTGTAGGCAATCTTGACAGCACACAATCTCTGCTCGTATTCAGCTTGTAACCTGGCAATGCGCTGTCTCTTTGATTCATCCAAACGTTGCCTCTTTGAAGAGTCCTCATCTGAGGGTTCTGCTGCTCGAGATGTTGCTGGCTCTCGAGGGCTTTCAATCTCTATATAGTCCCTGGGCGGTGTCACCGGCACTGCAAGACCTGGATCCCCTGACATATCATCTCCAGTATTGGTCAAAGGTGGATTCTCTGCTGTCACATGGATTGGTCCACTAGGTAATGCAGGACCATCATCATCCACAACCTGCATACCTTCCAGTTCACCTGCAACTCCTTCACCAAGTTTCTCTCGCAAAGCCAAACTGAGTGGGTCATTGGCTGACATGTGCAACTGCTCCTCCTGCGCTTTCTGTTCATCAATTGCATATTGAATCACTGCTTCAGCATCT